GGAAAAACCCTGCAACACATTAATAAAACATAAAGCCAACTTTGAGAACAAACAAGGATTTGGAGGATTGTGTGTTAATATGCAAAGCTGTGTTCACATAGAAGCCATAGCATGAAGAAACACTTCTCACTTCCAGAACCAACATGTGCATTAACTACGGATTAGCAGCTCATACGACACGCTTTGATGAAACTACATGTTAAGGATTATAAAACAAAACAAAACTGTGCTTGAGGTTCTTTGGAATCCTCATATTATTTGTGATTTCAGATTAATTCTTGTAACTCTCACCTGTATCTCCAAACTAAGTCGTTCATTCTCCTCCTGCCTCTTGGATTGGCTGTTTGAGAGGCTGCATTTGAACTGTAGGGACATTAGGACGTAAATAGAAAGATAAATCCCAGTGCACACATTAATATTACAAGACAGTCACTGTTATAGAGCTAAATTGGATGACAAATTGTTTACAGTCACCATTTTTGGAGATCCCACATGCGCTTGAATATCCCAAAGGCCCATTATTTATGAATGAGCCTTCCTCTGTGAGTGTCCTGTTTTTAGTTGCACATATTCCTCACTAAAGCCGAAATTACATTCGCATGAGCGGCGTATGTAATCTGTGTGAAGTAGTTGGAAGTAAAGCAAACACAGTGATACAAACAGCCTGTAAAGCTCATTCAAACATGGCATTAAAAACACAATATTTCCAAACAGTTTTCATCAGCTCACACAGCAGAGAGGCTCTAATAATTATATAACACGATGACACAGATCAGGTCACCGCGGATAATCTGGCTGAAAAGATGCACACACCAGCAAGTCTAGCAGAACAGGGGATTGTAGAGTTTATTTCACAGTCAGGAACTCTGAATCCACCCACAGTGAGACGGCGAGCGGGATGTTTAGTCACTTTCTTATGCTGTTGTATCGTTTAATGAAACTCCACAATATTGTCACTGTGTATCTCCAGCATGTATTGAAGAACAAGAGAACGTTCAATGAGGACAAATTTACATTTTTGCAAGAAAACAAGTCAATCAGTTATCTTTATTGTTCTGTAACGTGAACATATATTATGTATATAAAGCACTAATTGATTTGACAAAACCTTTCATCCTAGGTTTGAAATGATAGAAAGACTACATATTGAAGTTCTCACGCACTATAGGCATATTTTAGAAAACTCAGTATCTGACAATATGAGATTTATATTTTTCAAATAGGAATTTCTATACAATGCAAAGATAGAATTCAATGTGCAGTCTAATTCACAGATCCCCTCCTACTTAGCCCGTAATAAATCTTCATCCCAGATGTCAGACAGCGTGATGGTTGACGTCCACCATCCCGTCTGCAGCCAGATCCTCCCAGAACATCTGAAGAGCAGCGCCCAGTCGTTACATAACGATCATATAGGGATATGTTATGGGGTTTATTTTTGGCATTTCTCTAAAGTTGCACATTAAAACTTCAGCCTGTATCTGTAATAATACAGGCTGAAACGAAATGTGTTATACGAATGACAACGCTTGACAACAAAGTTAATTAAAATGGAAAATGAAATACGGAGTCAGAATCCATTTTACTGCCAGGTAGTGTTTCACATACAAGGAATTCGGCTTAGTGTTTTGGTTTACAGCAAACACTGATAATTTGAAAATTTAAAGAAGGGTGAAAGATTTTTAAAAAGCAAGTGTCAAAAAAAAAAGCAAGTGTAACAATAAAATACTTATGATGCTTATTATATACAACAGAGAAAAACGGAAAATTAACTTTCCAGTTACATTATTTGTTAGAGTATTTAGGTGGAGGTGATTTTACATTTTATCTCAGCAGAGTTTTATGGAGTCATGAGAGTGCGAAATTACAAAAATAAATCAATTAAAGAATAATAAAATAAAAATGGAAATAAAAAGAAAAATAAATAAAATAAAAAATAAATTATGTGGCAATATTAAGCAATATTAATCAAAAATGAATTCATAAAACAAAAGGCTAATAAAAGTAGAAATATAAAGACACACTTTATTTGTAATTTTTATTTATTTTACATTTTTTAAATTATTTTTTAAATTTTATTTTATTTTTTTGCATTTATTTTTATAATGTCGCTTTAAAGGCAAAAGAAAAATAACACAAAATATAACAAATAAAAATTAAAAAACTTAAAATGTAAAAATAATTTTAAAAACAAATTACTATTATTTTTATTATTTAATTTTTTGTCGTTATGCTTCTACTTTTATTAGCCTTTTCTTTATTGATTTATTTTTATAATTTGGCACTCTCACTACTCCATAAAGTTTAAATTGTGGGTAAAAAAGAAAAATCATTTAAATTATACAAATTTAAATTTACTTCTTTAAGAGAGGCACCGCCCACTCTGCTACACGCATGCGCAGCTCTGCTCCGAGTCACATGACAGGGTGGTTCCGCTTCCTGGCAGCAGCAGCAGCAGCTTCAGTCCGGTGAGTTTCTGTTCATCGTTTTCAGCCGGTTTTGTGTTTTATCGGCAGACAGCAGCCGGACACAGACATGACATGAAACACGGAGGCTTGTTCTCGGTGTGAGAGAACATTCACCGGCTCAAGGTGTTTTAAACTCGGCCTGGAGCTCCGAGGGAAGCGTCCCATGCTGCTCCAGCTGAGGAACAAAACTTTCTGTTTGCTTTCCACAAATGAATATTTATCATACAGAAGTCTTTGCATTAAGCTCGTACCTCACAGTTTTGAAGTTTTATCCGTAAACTCTTTAATAAAATAGTATTTACCTCACATCTCTGGTTCAGCTTCAGTTGTGAGACAAATCATCACATTGCTGTTTAACATCCAGTTGAATAGGATCAGTCAGTGATGGTGCGAGAATTTCTTATTTGTCTGTGATATTCAACCAAGGGAATAACCATAACTGATATTGTTATTTGTTCTGCTTCCTCAAACTAAATTCTACATTGAAATTACTAAGGGCTCAGTCAATATGTTTTTTCAGGGCTGATTATTAGTAAGCAAAAACACCAGAAACCAATATTTGGGAAAATTTGCAGTAAACATGACATGACAATTTAGAATAACACAACTAGCATTTTCATGTAGGACTGCTAAACTTTGTTTATTTTCCAGAAGTATTACTTTAATCCACCGTAAAGACTGATGACGGTAAGCGATGTAACCAGTAACATCATAAATCCAGAATCAGGATCACGTCAGTGTGTCGGTCAGTCAGAGGAGTGTGTAGCTGTGGGAGAGCAGAGATGCATTAACAACCGTTTACTGTAACTGGACGCTTCCAGCTGTGACCGAAGCATCAGAGAAGAGCTTCAGTGTCATCATGTTTCCTCTGCTGATGATATCATCTGGTAAAATAATCACCACAGAACCAGATTAAAGAATTGAGTTTACATTAGTCGTTGTTGTCAGCTTGAGTTCACATGTCTGGGTGACAAACAGAAAAATAATATCTCTTTAAATTAACAACCAGCAACTTTGTCAGTTTGTATTTTTTGTGGATTCTTTGTCAGAAGGTGAAATTTTCATTCATTTCTTTTTCTTTTTTTTAAAAAAAATCTACTTTTTAAAAATAGATTTTACACAAATGTTGTATACGGTGAACAATAACACCTCCAGCCAACAGAGATGAGCAGCTCTTTAACAGGAGAGACAATGAAAGCAAAACAAAACTAACCAACATTTCCATCAGCTTACATTCCCAGAATCCTCCCAGTAAATACAAAAACCTGCAAGTGCATAGAGCATAAATACAATCAGCAGTCAGCAGT